ATATAACAGGGTATTCCTTAATGATATGCGAATATTTAAGGATATGAATCTACATGAAAAATTAATGTTAGTTTGCTTTATAAACAATGGTCCAAAAATGTTTCCTTGCAAAAACTCGGGGTGTTGAAGTTTTAGGAAAAAAAATTGAAATTAATTGATATTTTCAGAAGCGCTTCAGATATTTCACTGACATTCAGTACGTAGTTGAAGTTAATAAAGCTGCATATTTTTCATTGCTCACCATTACCGTCGGCAAGGCCATATACGTTTTGCATTTCCACCATCTCTGCATTTGAATAATTCACCATTATTAAAAAGATTGTAAAAACTAAGTAATGAAACAGATGTCACTGCGAACAGATTTGAATAACAGAGACTTGTCAGATGTCAAAAGCCAGTAACATATTCCAGAGCAAGTAGATATTTATTGCTAAATTGCATTCTTCAATTATTATAGTACATTCATTATCTGGGACAATAGAACTGTCTTTATTTTTTCACTCAAAAATGGCGCATGGAAGGAAAGCAACTCACGATACATCATTTGTTTTAAATTGAACGTGGAATTTAAAAATAATTTTTTTTGGCAGAAAACCATTGGCGTACAATTTTATTCTTAAAAAATGTCGAAGTCAATGCCCGTACGCACGCCACTGTTAAACCTAAAAATTATTCTTTAATTGTATCTTGTGGGAAAAGTGCACTTCTTTGTTAATTTTGGGGCGCTGAATCCAAAAATGACAATGAAATAAAAAAAATAGTTGCGGTTTAGAAAAAAACTTTTTATTTTTAAGGATATATTAAAAAAAGTAACAAGATTCATATACTTATAAGAATCACTATATGCGCTGTCTTTTTGCTGTTCTTTTATGGATCGTTTCTGGAACATCTCTACCAAGAGTCCAACAGTAGTCTGCAAGCATGGAAGGATTCCTCTTTCTCTGGTACCATTTTTCCATTGTTGAAATATCCTGATGAAAACGTTCGCCGTGCTCATCACTTACGGCTCCGCAATTGTCAGGAAAAAAGTCCAGGTCTGAGTGTAGGAAATGTATCTTAAGAGACATATTACACATATTTGATACGTTGACAGCATATTTTTGACAAGGGTCTTATAGTTGTCAGCTTTTCTATTTCCCAAGAAATTAGTGACCACCAGACGGAAATCATTCCAAGCAGTTTTTTCAATACCTGTTAAAGTGTTTTCAAACTGTGTATCTTTCAAAATATTTCGAATCTGTGGTCCAACAAAAATACATTCTTTAACCTTTGCCTCACTTAGTCTTGGAAATTTCTGACGCAGGTATTGAAAAGCTGACCCATCTCTATCTAATGCCTTGACAAAGTTTTTCATTAGGCCCAACTTGATATGCAGTGGTGGTAATAAAATTTTTTTCGAATCTACTAATGGCATATGCTGTACATTTTTTGGACCTGGCTCCAGGAATTGACGAACAGGCCAGTTTTGTCTGGTGTAATGAAGTGCCTTTGCCCGACTGTCCCATTCACACAAAAAACAGCAAAACTTTGTGTAGCCTAGCTGCAGCCCAAGTGAAAGTGCAACAACTTTCAAATCGCCACAAATATGCCATTGGTGCTCATGGTATTTTATGCATGTCAATAGGTACTTCATATTGTCATATGATTCTTTCATGTGAACTGCATACCCTACAGGAAGAGATGGTAAAATATTTATAATATGCAATAACACTGCCTTTAAACTCAATGTTGAACTGTCTATAAACAATATCCATTCTTCTGGGTTATAGTTTATATTTAAAACCACCAGTAAGCCGTTAATGTTACTGCAGAAAACCAAGTTATTTTCCATATTGAAAAATGGCTCTAAGTCTTTGTGGCGTTTACGAAAAACACATACCGAAACATCGACTTCTAACAAGTTCCACTGCTGCAGTCTTGATCCAAGTAACTCTGCCTTACATTTTGGAAGTTCTAAATCACTCACAAGATCATTTAATTCTGACTGTGTTATTTTGTGCGGTTGGTGGCAGGACGTGCTCGGTATAAAATCAGGATCTCTTGACGTTGATGGCATATCTTCTTCCTGACGAATCACTCGATCGCCATGATCTGATTCGTTTTCTGATTCGCAAGTGTAGGATTCTGGGGGTTTTGGACCTGTGGCTTGTCCAACACAAGGTACCATGCAAAAGTAACAATCATTAATATGATTTGTAGGCTCTCTCCAAACCATTGGGACAGCAAAGCGCATAGACCGTTTTTTGCCATTTAACCAGCTCCTCAGACTTGAAGCACATGTATTACAGCAGATGTGGGGTGCCCACTGTTTGTCTTGATCACCTAGTTTACAACCGAAATAAAGCTGATATGCCTTTGTTATTAGTGGAGTAATAGACCGTCTCTGAGACGCAAAAGTCACATCACCACACACGTAACAAAACTGATCTGGATTGTTTACACACTTTCGAGACATCTTGCATGAACGCTGTCAGCCAACTGAGGAAAAAAATGGCTAATATAAAACAATATAATGTACACGTATGTATAACGTAACACAATCATGCCGATTACATCATCTTTCCTTGCCGAATATAAAAATGTAGCTCGTGCATTCTTGTGAATTACAGTATATTAACACTGTCACAGCAGGAACACATATAATTACCGTATCTCTAAAACTTGAACTAATATTGAAAAAATAAGTTTCATTCCGGTTTTAGCACATTATAAATAGTAATATTTTGTTAATTTCAGTGATATCAGTGAAGCGTTTCTGAAAATATTAATTAATTTCGATTTTTTTCTTTAAACTTCAACACCCCGAGTTTTGTAAGGACATATTTTTGGACCATAGTTTATACGGCAAACTAAAATTAATTTTTCATGTAGATTCACACCCTTAAATATTGGCATATCATTAAGGAACACCCTGTATATTGAGTATGGGGCAATGAATCATACGACGAAATGCATAACCGATCGTGATTTTGATATCGTATGTGGCACAAAAATCTTAGGAGGCACGCTTCATTAGCAGATTATGTACGGTTGACTTGCTACACCTCGTTGCCTGGCTTATTTATTTAATATGTTAACCATTTTTTTTTTCATCTCATCAAGGCCGCACAACGCCGCGGACAGATTTGAGCGTGTTTGGGATGGGCATGGGCCCCGGACCAAAATAAACGTCTGGCGCATTACGAATGCATAAGACGTTCTTGATTGGCATGGAAATAAACATTCGTTTACTCAAGGTGGTGCAGACACCTTTTCAATTTCCTCTTGAGACGAAGAGGGACGGATTAGACTATGTGGGTGTTTTCTTATGTGTTGATTAAGATTGTCCTACAATTTTCAACTGTACAGTCTCTATCTATAGTTCCTACAATACTTTGAACTTAAATGCTCAACTATTGATCAAAGTTCATCTAGCAGAACTGTCATTGGGATTCTTGATGGAAGGAACATATATGTAGTATGTTCCTTGAATAATTATGCTCATATGGATTTATACTGCAAATTTTAATCTACAAATTGAGATGTGGACACTGTTCACTAACACGCACGCTAGTACCGATTGGACAGACTTTGCTTAAGCAGTTAAAAATCGACTAATCCAAGTTGTCATTGTTCTGACGACCTTGGGCTGGTTGGTACAAACCTGTGATTTATGAATAGACTAAAACTCAAAAATAATTCGGTATATTGCTCACATGTCTGGGAAGCTGTTTGATTCACTGGTGCGATTTAAAGTGGTAATAATCATATTGATAATTGAAAAATGAGCTTATCGTGCACTTACATTTTGGAGTCACCGGAAAGTTCTATCCGTTACATTATCAACAATCTTCGACGGCTTACTCTTTCTACCACTGAATGCATATATGCTTGCTCTATAAACAAATTGTACCAAAAAAGGTTCCTTTTAGAACAGACAGGCAGCATCGATCTGTCTGGAATGGGTAACATAGTTTTTCGTGATGTACATGTCATACAACATCCGAAAACATAATATCCCATTTTTGAAATTTTTCGCGATCACAATACAGCTTCACTCAGTGGCGTAGGAAGTAAACAATACTACGGAGGTGTGTAGAAATTCATTCATGCAGAAAAATTCCAAACGGGTAAATCGTAAGTTCCTGATAATCCGTGCTGATTGATACAGTTTCTGACCAACAACGATAACACCAAAAATATGTTCTTCCATTGACTAAGGTTAACAATCCGCCAGAATTTGGTCAACTACGTTCAATCTCGCTTTTACCGACCCTCTCTAAACTTTTGGAAAACCGCTATACAAGTTGTTTTTGCCAACAATATCATCCCCCCTAGACAGTCAGTTTTTAGAACCGGGTACAGTTGTTCCACAGCATTAATAGATCTTGTGGATGATGTCATCAGAGAACAGGATGCGGGAAATGCTACTGTCTTGGTGTTATTGGACTACATGAAAGCATTTGACATGATTAATCATGCGATACTAGTGGCTGTTCTGAAATATATTGGATTATGCATTAATAAATTCTTTTTTATCTGAACGGATGCAGCGTGTGACTTTGGACGGAAACATATCAGATACAGTTACAATTACATCAGGGGTACCCCAGGGCAGTATTTTGGGTCCATTAATCTTATGATGTCGCTAAGTTATTGTCAATATCATCTTTATGCTGGCGACACTCAAATGTATGCCTCGTTTAAACCTGATCTGTCAGAACTTATAACAATCTGACTGAATACCGACTTGGATAGCTTTCTGAAAACCTCTGAGGATCACTTGTTAAAGATAAACCCTAGTAAATCGACGGCTATATTGTTTTGTAGTGATTCCTACATTCCTACAACGTATTAGAAAATAATGTTAAGCTCAAACCAGGGGACAATATAATATCATTTAGGGATTCCTTGAAGGATTTGGGCTTAGTGGTTGACTTTAAACTTAACTTTAGAGGGCACATTACTCTGTGCCTAAGAAAAGCATATTCAATGTTAAAAATAATTTACCCCCATAGATATTACCTATCACAAAATACTAAAGCCACGCTCTGCGAAGCTTTAGTGTTGTCCCACTTCAACTTTGCTGATATGGTATGTGGCCTATTTGTTGCTAGTGTGGAACTAAAACGGGTTCAAACAGCTCAGAATTTTTGTCTGAGACTTATATTTGGCATAAGGGGTAGACAAAGAGTCTCCCACAAACTACCTGAACTGGGATGGTTGAATATGGCTCAGAGACATACCTTGCACTCTACTTCCTTTTTTTACAAGATTATAAAATATAAAAGCCCTCCTTATCTTCACTTAAAAATTAGTTACCGGACTGATGTACATAATCTAAACATTAGAAGATTGAATTTAATTACAATACCGTCACACAATAAATAATCATTTGAGAAATCAATCTCATATCAAATTGCCTTTTTGGTAAACAAATTCAAAATTAAAGATTTTTCTCTCTCGGTAGCTACATTTAAGAAGAACCTTAAAAGTGATTTACGGTCTCAGATATCATAGAAAACATATCTCCTGCTCCCCGTTTTCTCTATTTCTTAATATCAAAATATTATTAATTATCAATGTCTTAATAGCCATTTGTATTATTATACAATTGTTTAAATTTGTTTGTTTTTTTGCTCTAGCAGCTGCTTTTTTAAGGAGCAAGCTGATGTAGCCCTTTATTCTCTTAAGGCTTTTTGTTTGTAAACTTTTATATACTGTTTAATGAGGGTAATAAATATTATTATTGTTATTATTATTATTATTATTATTATTATTATTATTATTATTAAGTTAAAGCAAATTTCTTTTTTGGCAACATCAGGCAATATGGAGGAAAGGCTGCATTCAGATTGTTTCGGGGCATATTTCGAAATTAGGAATACCGTGAAAATATCCGAAGTGGGTGTCAATGAGAAAAACTTGAATGTCAGATTCATGCCATGGACATATCTACTTGCGTGGGACAGAATCGAAGCTTTTTTGAACCGAATAATAACAGCGGACAGAGAGTGGACCACATATGGGAAATCCTGGTTCCTAACCTCCAAACCAAATTTTAGCCTTAGCAAGATGTTGTGAATATGGTGGAACATCTGTGGACCAATACATTACGAGCCATTGAAACCAAATTTGTAGAGGTGGAGTCAGAAATTAGGTAATTTTAAGACACCATTCTACGGAAAAAATATGGTGTTGTAACGTCAGACCACGTACTGCTTTGCAGACCCGTCAAGAAACTGCAGAGCTTGACTAGGAACGACTCTGAGATTACTCATGCTTTCAAGGGCTGGTACCCTCGGACTACTATCTATTTTTATCGTGACAACATTTTTTGTGGAGTAAGAAAATAAAAAACGAAGACGATACCCAACAAGCGCAATATACATCTTTTGCACCTATAGATGACGACGTTTTATATAAATTGATTATGCAGCTAGCCATCACGTTAATAAATAGTCATAATTGATTATGAGCATTATATTATTCACCTAGTTTAACCAAGGTGAGAAAAAAATAGTGTTTTCACCAAAAAACGAAACAAAAAGTACCAAGCACGGAGGCAAGTATCATTGGTGATAACACTTAAAATATACAACAACAACAATTGAACAACAATTGAATCAGAGCAGTAATGGGGAGCTTTTAAACAAAGATAGGACATTACCGTATCCATTATCGTTGTTCTTATATACTAAGTGACATATAAATCCGAACACCCAGTTTAAATGGTTTTATTTTAATAAAATTTTGTATAAGTACTTAATGAAGCATAATAAGTAAATGATAAAAATTTCAAAATGATTGCACTGCTTTAAGGCCCTTTGACCTTTAATAAAGTGTGGATGCACCCTGATGTGCTACGCATTCTCCAAAGCGCCTAGGTATGCTTCTGATCAGGTGGTCAATGTCCTCCTGTGGTATCTCATTCCAGGCAACCACCAACTCCTCTCGAAGTGCTTCTAGAGTCTGAGGAGGACGTTGCAAATTGAGCAATCTCCTACCCATCATATCTCACACGTGCTCAATTGGGGATAAGTCGCGAGATCTTGGTGGCCATGGTAACAATGTGACATCATTATGTTGAAAGAAGTCTATTGTGACTCTTGCAACATGTGGTCGGGCATTATCTTGTTGGAAAGTTGGATCTGCTAGGGTGTCAAGATAGGGTAAAAGATGGGGTTCTAGAACTTCGTGGATATAACGCTGCGCGTTCATGTTACCTCTGATGAAGATTAAAGGTGACCTGGAACCATAACTCCAACAGTGTGATGAACATGTCTTTCAACAAAAAACTGTGGATTCCTCCTTTCACCACGTCGCCTTCTAACCCTGGCACGACCATCGTGCATGCCTAGACAAAATCGAGACTCGTCACTAAAGACAATACTGTTCCATTCCTGATCCCAGAGTGACCATTGTCTGCACCACTCAAGGCGATTACGTCGGTGTTCTCGAGTTAAAGGGAGGACCCAGTGTGGCCGGTATGAAAACAAGCCAAAACTTCTCATTCGTCGGTAAACACTTCGCATGCCAATAGGTCTTCCGTGTTCTGCAAACCGTTAATTTGCAATGGACCTGGTAGTGGAGAAACGGTCCCTTAAGGCCAATAATCTTAGGCGGCGATCTTCACGGTCTGTTGTTCTACGGCGGCGTCCAGTGCCCCTTGCTCTTTGCGTACGGCCTTCTCGAAGCCATGCCTGACAACACCTAACCACAGTGTCTACACTGCTTTGCACTCTAACTGCAATTGCCCAAAAAGAAAGTCCAGCTTCCCGAAGTCCCACTATACGGCCCCTATCAAACTCACTAAGTTGATGAAATCGTACAGGTCTCCGTACTCTAGGCATCGTAACCGATAGTAAAGGATGTCAAGAACCAAAATCCGCCAACGTTGATTCTTTACTGCGGCTGAAATATTCATTTTTAGAGCGTTAGTGAATTAAAAAAAGCAGTATAAAAACCGGAATCTCCAACTGATAAGGCTGACAATTTTTTCACTTGTTATTTACAGTAAGAAAAATACATTCACCAACTTTTATTAAAATAAAACCATTTAAACTGGGTGTTCGGATTTATATGTCACTTAGTATAGTTTCAACACATCATTTAAACAGACAAGAATATGATAGCTTCGTTACAAGGGAATTATACATCATATAGGCGAAGTATTAAATAAATAAAGCTTGGGGTCCCATGATCTTTCGCGAGTCATGCTTATACCTGAAATTAAATTACTTAACACGTTTTTATAATCATTTCACGGCTTTACTTCATATAAAATTTGTATACAGCAAGAGCCTCTCGAGGTGTCTTGTGTCCCTTCGTACATCGTCGTCACATTGTAACAACTCAATTTTCTAGTAATTACACGTGTTGGTCCGTTGGTTCGTTGTGTCCGGCGGGCTGTAATCTTAATTTTCCTGTTAGGAGCATCATCACCCATGACGTGTACCTCACGCGGTCGACTTGTAGGTAATAGTCCAAGCGCCTTTAGTTCAACACAACGAATTCTCATCATTCTGTATTTCGTTGACTGTTTCTGACGTCGCCGAACCACCATAGGCCAAATCCTAGCGTCCAATCACGATTACGGGTACTCCCAACTTGCACCAGGGAGTTAATCGTCAATAAACGCCAAATAACGGTATACAGTGCAACCCGCTTATAATGGACTCGGCGGGACTGTGACAAATAGTCTATTATAGGCGGATGACCATCTTAAAAGAAACACTTTTTTTAATGAAGAAAGCAGCAGAAATAACATATTAAAAGCTTAAAGTTGTAAGTGATTTCGAAATTTGCATTTTCTCAGAATCTGTTACACATATTACAGGCATACATACTGTGTATGTGTAAAAACCGTAAATTATTCGGTAAAAAAGTTAGTAATTTTCATTTGAACAGATTGTTCTTTGTATAATTATGTAGAACAGTAAGTTGAATTTTATTTAATTTAGTAAGTGTGGCTGTACTGTCTTCTTCATCGTTGTTTTCTAGTTCGCCTTCCTGTTCGTTATCAACGGATCCTTCATTAACCAAATTGGAGACTGACAATTCCTGTGTTGCTATTAAACTACAGTACTGTATTGTCAATATTTACATACCCATTAGATTTTTCTATATTCAGTAGACTATTAATTTTCAGTAAATCACTTAATGGAATTTCATCTTCTGGATTAAAATCGTTGACATTTCAGTTGTGTTTTTCACTAAACAGTTACGAATCGTTTTTGGAGTAACCAATTGCCATGCAATAGTAAGCAAATTTATAGCATCTAAAATGGTGACAGCTTTGGTAATGTTGACATTTTATTAAAGCTCCATAATTTTCATCGACATATGTTTCGAGGCATTTGTTGAAGACTCCAAATGACACCCTGGTCCATTGATTGCAGAACTGATGTCACATTGGGAGGGAAAAATTGAAGGTTGATGTTATTAAGTGAAATATTTGGATGAGCGGGGCAGTTATCGACCAAGAGCAAAATTTTACCATTTTTCTTAACAAGTTCAGCGTCCCACTTTCTTAAATATTATTCAAAAGTTGATGAAGTCATCCAAGCTTTATTATTTCCAACATAATCGACGGGAATTGTTTTAACATTTTTTAAACACCTGGGATTCTTGAATTTCCCTGAAATAAGAAAAAGGTCATAAATTCTTTGAAGCACTGCCACTGAATTTTAAGACAAATTAGGACATGAATTTCTATTCATTCACTCACCTATTATCAATAGTTTCCGTTTTTCAGTACCAGAAGCATTAGCACAAATCATATCAGTTATTCGCTCTGTTGAGAGCTTCTCTCCATTGCAAGTTTCACCTTTTAATTTATGAGTTTTATCTGGTAGCATTCTATAAAATATCTCGGTTTCATCTGCATTGAGTGTGTTATTATCTGAATAATCATGGGATATTACGGGCCAAACTTGAGAAATGCAGTCATTGGTAACGTTCTTGTCAACTGAAGCTGACTCACCACACATTTTTTCAAAAACAATGTTATGTCTTTTCTTAAACCTGTGAAGCCAACCGGAACTACATTTGAAGTAATCTCCAATCAATTTCCCATATTCTTTAACCTTGATTTGTAGCATAGCTCCACTTATTGGAAAATTATTAGCACGCTTTTGTTGCAACCATTTAAACAGCATATCATCGACTTGGGGACGCAGCGATAGCCGCATTTTTCCTTTTAACTGTTTGATTTCCAGTCATTTTTAATTTAATTAATTATAGGTCCTTAATTGTGTCCATTATATACGGGTTTCCTTTATAAGCAAGTTCATTATAAGTGGATTTCACTGTATTAGGTTGTTATAAATATTGTAGATTCAAATCGATAGTTGTTGTACGCAATATTTTGAAGAATTTTTACACCCGAGGTTTATAGATTTTGGTTCTTGACATCCTTTACGATCGGTTACGATGCCTAGAGTACGGAGACCTGTACGATTTCGTCAACTTAGTGAGTTTGATAGGGGCCGTATAGAGGGACTTCGGGAAGCTGGACTTTCTTTTCGGGCAATTGCAGTTAGAGTGCCAAGAAGTGTAGACACTGTGGTTAGGTGTTGTCAGGCATGGCTTTGAGAAGGCCGTACGCAAAGAGCAAGGGGCACTGGACGCCGCCGTAGAACAACAGACCGTGAAGATCGCCGCCTAAGATTATTGGCCTTAAAGGACCGTTTCTCCACTACCAGGTCCATTGCAAATGAATGGTTTGCAGAACACGGAAGACCTATTGACATGCGAAGTATTTACCGATGAATGAGAAGTTTTGGCTTGTTTTCATACCGGCCACACTGGGTCCTCCATTTAACTCGAGAACACCGACGTAATCGCCTTGAGTGGTGCGGACAACGGTCACTCTAGGATCAGGAATGGAACAGTATTGTCTTTAGCGACGAGTCTCGATTTTGTTTAGGCATGCACGATG